GTATTGGGTGTAATTATGAATCATTATCAAATTTCAAATTTTGAAATCTCTCTCTATAACCACAAGCCCCCACTCTCTCTCCCTCACGGTGGAGCTCATGGTGCTCTCTCTTCCTAGTTTAACGGTGGGGCAATGTGTGGGTTGAGAGAGAAGGGGTAGGGGGAGGAGAAAGAACATTCAAAGAGAGAGGGAATGGAGGAATAGGCAGGAAACTAAAATATGAAAAAATAAATTCCTAGCAAATTTAAACTCTACTAAATTTTGGAGCTATAATTACACTTAATACCCTTCTTTAGATCAATAAGAGGAATGAAACAAAAATAATTTTAAAAGCATGTTTGTTCCATCCATTGATGTGCATCATCTTCGTCGACTAGTAAATGAACGAGATAATATCAAGAGCATAAAGCAATGTTTTGAAAACCAAACTGGACAACGAACAGGTCTAGTGGCTGGCCACGTTCAATCTGTTGGACTGCCAGTTCAACTCGAATGTAGTAGTTACACACTGATTTACCCCCCAAAAAACAAAGTAGTAGGTACACTAAAAAAAGAAAATGTAGGAGAAATATTTAAAAATATGGAAAATAATTAAACATTTTGCACACAAAAAAAGAATACCATTCCTCTTGGAGAAAGAGAGCAAGTATAATATGTTTGACAAGAGTATGTGTTCTTAGAGAGCTAGATCAAAGAAGAAGAATACTTTTTGAGGGGTGAGTGAATTCCAAATTTTCCTTAATGTTTAATCCAGAATATTTGTGATATCATATAAGACAGTTTTACATAAGGGAGTTTTGGATAAGTCTATTTATGGTAAAGATTGCCTAAAGCACAGTTTCTTCACATAGTTTTCTGAAACTACTGCCTTTTGAGTACGAGGATCAGAAACCTATCAGTTTGCCATTTTCATCGGTTGAACACGAATCATGGATATGATGTAAGCATTGGGGACAAATGAGGCCAAGATTCAGGGGGAGGGAAGAGAAATCAGAGAGGTAAGGACCTTGTGCTTAAATGGTTGAAGAAATGCAAATCATAATGCCTCCCATTGTGAGAGGATGAGTGACAAATGAGACCAAGATTCTAAAGATAGTGTCAGGCAGTACGCAATGCAAACGAAAAACATAAAAATATATCATACCTGGAACAAAATCAAAATGGGAAACAAAAGATTAAAAAAATGTATGTTCCATTTATCGATCGGTAACATACGAAAGGATGTTTTCCAAACCCTCCCCCCTCATACATGTACTTGATTTCTCATGCTTATATTAGCACACTTTTCAAAGAGGAGTTTGACTTGAATGCTCTTTAACATCTTTTTCTTTTTCTCTTTTTTTTGGGTAGTTTTGTGGGGAAGGGATCCCCTACCCATGGTAGGAACGGAACTCAAGACGTCACATTGTGGCACCTTACCACCCTGGCCACCTAGCCTTGAGCCCATTCCTAAATCCTTTAAACCACATGATTTAAATTCATGACCTTGCGGTAAGCAGCTGCACGGTCAACCACTAAGACGTCCTAGCATATGTGAAAGTTTTACACCTGAAGGATGAGATGAAACACTTTCATGGCTAACAAAAGTTTCATTATAAAAGGACAGAGATTACAAAAATTTGAACCTGCCTAGTCTAGAAAATCTCATAGTTAACACCAACAATAGTCCCTCAAGAAAAGACGCAAATGATAGTAACGTTGCTCAAACGACAATTTTTTTTTTAAAGATGTTAACGATCAAATGACAGAACTTATTTTGTACGAGGATATATAGAACACACATCCATGATAAGCATAGATTCCACAATTGCAAAATTATTAACCATCTCAATGATACTAGGGAATCTTCATCCAACATGTAAAGGGGGCCATTGAAATGATTAAAAACGATAAGCAGACCTCAGTTTCCGAATGACAGTGCCCAAGGTAAGCAAACTTCGATTAATGTGACACCCTTCCTTCAATCTTGTACCCCCTGATAATGCTTGTGATGCACGCTCACTCCCTGCTAGATCAACAAAATTCTGCAAATGAACAATGAATTCCACATTACACAACATAAAGTTTTATTGTCAAATAATTCAAATAATCTAAAAGTATGTGCTTACCACACTTGCAACAAGGGTGCTTGAATTTTCCTTGCCTAAGAACTCACGAGCAGAACTTTCAATAGTCTACACGACAAGATTATTATATTACAGTAACAAAAAGAGAAACATTTCCATCTATGGTAATCTTTATTTTTAAGTGCGATGAACGGTCTAAATGAGAAAATGTAGAACAGACCAATCGTAAAATTTGATGAGATCTGGAGCTCATTTCATTCAAAGAAGTCTCCCCGATCTGTCTTTGAGCTGCAATGTGCATTCACACTGAACTAAATAGACAGCAAACAGAACAAAACAAGCAAATAACTACAGACAACGCAATTCCTACCTTCACATATAGATAGGAGCTTGCATAAATGGTCCCAGTCGTTTAAGGTTTCCTCTGTAAGTTTCTCCACAATGGTACCCCTCTATAAACAAGCACACAGCAAAGTATCAATGTGGACAATGGTGGAAAAGAGGGTACAAGAAAAGGAAGGTCGCCAAAAAGAATATGCAATAATACTTGAGAAGGTGACCTACCTCTGGGTCATCGAGAAGTCGAAGAGGAGTACTATCAGGGCTCAGGAGATCCCTGACAGCTTCATTATATATCTCTATTGCCGAAAATTTCAGGACGAATGCCCTTTCCTCGTGCTACAACAAACAAACCAACTCACTGATGAGAAGATATCCAGGATCGCATAGAGCAAGATATATGAAGAGCCAAAAAGCAAGGGTAACAGCAAACTAATGTATTACCCTTTGTATATAGTCATAAATATCTGATACTGTATATTCTGTTATTCCAATCATGGTATATGTTTTCCCACTGCTTGTTTGGCCATATGCAAATATAGTGGCTGAATATGAAAAAATTGACATGGTTAATGAGCAGCTAGAAGATTTCTTATTGAAAAGGAAACTGAGAATAGATAAGGAATGATACTCACAGTTGATACCACTCACTGCTGAAAGGGCAACCTGCTTAGCTGCGTCCTCATACACTTGCCTCGTAGAGCAATCAGAACGAAAAACCCTATCTGTAGTCCACTCCAAAAATCATAAGAAAAATCATTCCTCATACCCCATAAAAGCAAAAACAGAAAGAACCCATTTCCACAGAAAACCCAAAAAGCACGAGGACATACTCCTGGAAAATAGTTTTACTACTGCAAAATCATTAATTACAGGTTTCAAACTTTCTTCAAAACCAGATGTTAGTCAATGGTTATCATGAAGCCACAAACTGTCTCAGATCCTCTCAAGGGTAAGATATATTATGTCCGAGCAATTGAGAATAGTGATAAATCACCAAATCTCATAACAGAAAAACCAAACAAAATGTAGAAGAAAAAGGAGAGATGACGTGTTCAAATCCAGGAAGAAGTTTACTTACCGAAAGTATAAGCCACTGGAGCCATGGATCTCTCAGGCACGCTGTTCCTGAAGATGATGGTGGTGTCATTGATACACTCCCAATCTGTTGTATCATTCCTTGCAATCTCTTTTGCATTCAAAGGCCTCAGCCTGATAGAAACAAGAATCCTCTCTCCACCTGCATCTCCCCTCTTCTCCCACTTGAAATCCTCTTCACCCACACCAATCTCCCCCATTTTCCCTTTATTCTTCTTCTACCCCAGAAAATGCAGGACCAATTACAGTAAATTCAAAAAACTAATATCAAATGAGGAAGAATTACGAGAAGACATTGGAATTGCTATTCCAAAAGGAGAGGCAGTTGAGCCGCTACAAAAAACCAGGTTGCTCTTGGTGCTTTCTCTCCTACCAGACTCCATCAAATCCCTTTTAAGGCACCACCAACCAAACTAATTTGTTAACTTGTCCCCTAATTAATTGATAAAATTTGCTCTTGATCTTTTTCAGGTTCTTTTACACCTACCGTCCATTATATTGGCCTTTTCAACTCCCACTCTTTACTTTGGAAAATATTCAGTTGGCCGGCGATTGTTTGAATTTTTTTGACCGTTTGTTTGTATTGGCCGCCACGTTCTCCAGGCTATCGAATCGTAAAAAAAACAAGAAATGAAACCAACGTATTTTTTAGCCTTTAATTGGAACCTCAGAAAACGGTAAATTCTTGATTTTCCTTTTTAGGCCAGACATCCAAGCAATTAAGGCGTTTCTACCCCACGTTGAGAAAAAATTCAGAGAGATATTTGAACGTTGAGTTTCAAATTTACCTGGTGAGAAATTCGAATTTACAACCAGCAAATGTTACCTGTAGTCCACGTCTGTAATCAACTCTCAATTAACGTGTATCGACCTTCTTCAAGCCAAGTATTTCATCTCCATTAATCTCTGAATAATTAACACGTCTTAACCTTCTGCATTCAAAAGGTATCCAATTCGCCAATTTTATGCAATTAACAAACCCTTATAGCTCTCGAAACTCCAAGGATGAATCCGAATTAATCACCACTTAAGCAATGGAAATAAACCAGAGATCTCTAAACAATCAGCAAAATTTTCATTATGAAATTATCTGCAGAAGATTTGGACACCTTAATGTAATGTAGCTCTAAACTTTGCCCTGGACCAGCAAAGTTTCACGATATTGAAGAATGTTTACCTGCTTCTCTAAATGGAAATCCTTTAGGTTCCAAATCTCAACTCATAAAACACGCCATTTTTTTTCCCTGCAACTCCAAATACAAGAAGTATTTAAGATATTTAAGGTAACTGAAGATATTACCTCCTACTATCCAAATTCACAGAGTTCTCGCTCAAAGCCCCCTGCATTGCAGAAAAAATCGAGATCTCTGCCATTAAGAACTCTAGCACCTCGTTAGCGCCGGAATATACACCATTTGCCCTCAAACTTCAAGCATTTAAACCCTCACTCTCTCTGAAACTCCAAACACACTACAACCCCGAGATCTTCCCATCCAAACAAACGCATTACCTCTTTAAAGGGGAAATATATACCATTTGCGCTCAAATGCACCTCATTCGAAACGTCTTGTTTCCCTGCAACCCCCGGTTCGCTTGAAACTACGGATCTTTGCAGGAACGAGACGCATAACAACGACCTGCAACTACTACATTTGGCTTCAATCGAATTGGAAGAAATTAACGCAAAAATATAGGGGAAACGTAGGCGTCAGAGAAGAACGGGACCAAACCTTACGCGATCTCTCAGACAAAAATGAGGGAGAGAGAAGGGGGAGAGAGAGGTTAGAGAGAGAAAGAGAGGAGAGAGGTTAGAGAGTAAGAGAGGAGAGAGAGAAGTTAGAGAGAGAAAGGGGAGAGAGAGAGAAAGAGGATGGAGAAAATAACTGCAAAACCGCCGAGATTTTAGCGGTGTTCTGCTATGAATAGCAGAGGTAGCGCGACCCTGACACGTGTGAAGATTGTTGTCGAGCTCGCACGTGTAAATAAATCGTTAGATTGGACGGTAGAGAGTGTTTGAGTTAAATGGACGGATTAAATCGATTCGTACTCCGTCGTTGGGCGCTTTGGAGCCGTCCGTTGATTGACGAATTTCTTCGTTTTAAATATTTCTCTTTTTTTAAAATTAATTACTGGGAGAAAGCTAGCACATGTCAGACTTTCAGTTCGATCAAACCGACTTTTTGTTCTTTCAAATTGAAATGACGAAATTGCCCTCCAACCACTGCCTGTCCGCCAAGAAAATGACTTAAGTGCCCTCACCCACTGTTGAAAATAACAGAAGCGTACTTGACCCAAAAGAGCTATGAAAATCGTGCGAAGAAAGAAAAAGGGTATTATAATCATTTCACTGTAAGATGGGCCATGAGGGACATCTATGATATTTCTTTTTCCCCAATTTGGCACAATCATCTCTTAAATGACCTAACTTATATTCCTTCTAAATTTCTAATATAATTAGAAGGGGAAAACTAGATTGATAGGGCTACAATTATATTAAAATAAGAGATTATGTTAGGGTAATTATGCATATCCATGTGGGCATTCCCTTTCGATTACTACAAAGAAGAAATATATGCTTCTCTCCAATCCAACCGTTCAATTTAGATCAAGTGAGTCACTTACCATTTGATCTAATATCTAACCTCCTAGAGTATTTTAGTTTTAGTTTTTGTTCTACAAAGTATATGAAATAAAATTTGGTACATGTCATAATCCCTATAGGGCGCACCTAAAAAAAAATATTAAAAATAATTTTTTGATAAAATATATAATCAAAATATCCCTTTAAATTTTTAAGGGTATTTTGGTCATATTATTTTTTTGAAAATATTTTTTATATATTTTTTAGTGGTATCACTTTTAAAGAGGAGTGGACAGCTCAAATTTTGGAGTCAAAAGCAATTGTAATTTTTTTTTTAAATTAAATAGTATAGGGGCATAACATTGTGATTGGAGTTATCTCAGCCATTCATTCAGAATGGACGTTTGGATAGGGGGAAGCATATAAGTTTTATGTCGTAGGGGAAATATAAAAAGCTTGCCCTTCTGTTAATGTATTAAACTCTTTTAGACACTCATATATCTTTGTTTTGTGATACAACTTTTTTTTTAGTAAAGGCACTTCTCGTAATTAGAATGAGTATGATAAATATTTCTATTAAAAAAGTAGTGGCATTTATTAGTGGTTAAGAAACCCTCATTGTGTCACGATATGTCATCATCTACTATAGGTGATAAATAATCTTATTTCTATCAAGAATTTCAATTAATCCTAATAAATTATCTAAAATACCCCTACACAAAAATGTTACTACATGGTGGAGTAAAGATATTGAGTGTCAAAAAAATTATTGAGTACATTAAGTAAATACTCATATATATAATTTTGCAGGCAACAAAAATTGTAATTCAAGCATTGGATAGCCTATATCGATTATTTGGGTTTGAACACTATGGTTGTGGAAAAAATTAGGATTTCAAGATCTAAAAATAGTGTATATTTTTATAAATTATGCAGACCATCTATTTCACCCTAAAAATAAGTGTTTATAGATCTTGCTACTATTTTTTGAGTTTCAAATATTATTGTCAATGTTGGAAATTGATTTTAGAGCCATCATGGAGATTCCCATTGCCAAAATTACTTTAGGGATGAAGATTTGAGGTGAGGCTTTATTTTGTTTTCATGAAGCCTATGCCTTATAGAAACTTCAACCTCATAAGGGCCATGTAGTTTGCACATGGTCGCAACCTTCAACAATCAAAGCAAGGAGCATCCCCAAATTATTATAAAATATAATTTTGGTATAAAAAATTTATAGGCTAACTACATAATCTATTTTTATCTCTAATTATAAAATTTTAAACCCCAATAATTGTTCAAATCAAGTAGATAAATAAACACATGAAAATCTTGAAAATTGACAGTCCAGATAATATGTTGCAAGCTACAATATTTTTAGAAGTCAAAATAATTTTTTTATTTATTTCATGTATCTCGATGTTGAGATGATCAATTAGAAGATTTTTCAACATCAAAATAGAGTTTTTCAATAGATTGTTGAGATGTGCCTTAATTCTACAGTTTATTGTTGAGATGTACCTTAATTCTACAGTTTAAGGTTACAACTTTATATAAACCTTTTCCTAATTAGAATTGTCTGGTTTCTGGTAGGTATTATGGTGTGGAGCACTTCCTACCTTAGAACAAGGGCAACAACGATCCCCACCATGCGTTCTATAACATAGCAGTAAGATGAGATCACCAATGACTTGTCATCATTTCGAAAGCATTAGATTAAAATTGCGAATTTAGATCGGAAATCAGTGAGCCGGATCAGTGCTCTTGAGTGAGCAATCTGGGTATCCCCTATGAATCACCCGATACTTCTTTATTTCTATCTTTACCAGTTAAATGAATCAGGACAACCCAATTTGATGCTATGGGCGGGCAATTGGAAACTAGATTTTGGGTCTTAAACAATGGTTAGGAAAATCATGACTGGGTAAATGTTTAAATTTTGGAATTTGAAGAATCAATTTGCATGTACCTTCTTGGCTTAGTGGCTAATGCCTGAGGATCTCTAGAAGATCGTAGCGAGAACAAAGAGTGTTACAACATTTATACCCCAAGTAGTACTTGGATGCAAGATTAAGAGATAAGGAGTTATGGAGAAATGATTAAAGCTTTTAGATGTAACATTGGATAGTTGGGCTCACAATTAATCTTGGCCATTGAATGTGAAATTGGGCAATTGCATGTATTATGTTGACCTAGCTCAAAGTTTTAAATTTTTTTTTTCGAATTTTGTGACACATCCAAGCTATCAAATTTCACATCAAAGGGTTATAAATATTTGTGATTTCATTGTATTAAAGGTAAATGATTTCATTATATACAATTCCAAAAATAATTGGTGTCCTTTTATATTTTTCCAAAAAATATAGTACTTTGACTCTAACATGAGAGCTCTTTATTTATTTATTTGAGTGGTAATATGAGAGTTCTTTATTATTTGTATATATAAAACTCGAACATGGACCCGGAATTGCTAAGGCCCGTTGTAAAGAATGCAAATGAAGTGATTAAGGCTAGGACTCCCAACTACCATTGGAAAAAGAGTGGAGGGCTTCCTGATTTTTGATAGGGCAATGTCATTTGACTGTATATAGCATAGAGCCTAAGGTTTCTCTAAAACGAATGAGAACTATTTTTTTTTTTTTAGCTGTCTTTCAACTTCAGCTTTCTTTACTGAAATCTCTAAGAAGTGACTCTAAAAATCTAAGACAGAAGACGTAAAAAAATGACTGTTTTAAAATAAACATCCTAAAACATTCTCTAAGTTAAAAAACCCTTTTAAAGATAAGCAATAAATAATATAATATTTTTTAAAAAATATTTAATAAGATACATCAATAAACAACATATACTCTATATTTAAAACCCTAGCCCGCGTGATTCCGGTGACTCAGTCTAAGTCATCGAGTTTGTAGTCCCTTTTATATAGAACTGTAGTAAAAGGCGTCATCTAGAATGTCTAATGCGGTATAATATTCGATGTCCTAGCATCTTGCGAAGTATTATGTGGTATAATATTCGATGTCCTATCATCTTGCGAAGTATTATGTCATGTTTTTTAATATTATTTGAAGAATACCTCATGCTCTTAATTTTAGTTTTTAAAACATTTGAAAACACTTACTAGAGATGACATTTGATCTTTCTACTATATGTCTAATCATGTTTATATATTTATTTATTTCTTCAGTATTAATTTGGGATTTGATTTTTTTTGTTATATTATTTTAAGGGATTGTATACGATGAGACCATTTATCTTTCATACATGAAAGTCACAATTACTCATGTTTGTTTCGTGGGGTGATTCCTATCATTTTTTTTCTTTTTTTTAACCATAAAAATCGAACTTGATATAAAGTCGCTGACATTAACTGCTAACCAATAAAGACCAAACCCGATTATTGGATCCTACCATTTTACAGCACACTCATATTGTCTTTATGGTAAAAATTTGTTGGCATGTTATAAACTCTTAGGACCCATTCGTTTGGATTTGTGCATCCTAAGTCATCCAAAATTGGCATCTCATAATTGCACCTAAGTCATCCAAATTTGGCATCTCATAGCCACGGGGTGATGTTTTTAAGTATGCCTCACTAAATACTAATGCATTCTTCCATGAATTTAGAATAAGAAACCTTTCCATGTTTTCATGTACACATGATTTATATGTGTATATTGAGATATGTCAATGAAATAATCGGTAATAAACGACAAGTTGTATATTTATCATCATCATCATTATTATCGTCAGAGTTTTTTCTCAACTATTTGGGGGTCGACTGCTGATGAGCCATTCGACTCTATCAAAGGCCATACCTTAAGTGATGTTCTAAGTATCATATCTTTTCTCACTACTTCCAATCATGTCTTTTTGGGCGTACCCTTTACCGTTTTTTAGCTTTTTATTTGAGCCAACTCACACCTCTTTACATGTGCTGTAGTTAGTCTGCTTACATATTAATATATAAATTATTATAAAAGTTATAATTAATATGTGACATTATTATCAACTTATTATTTATTATTTTATTCAAATTATTTAGTTATCGTCCTTATGAACATTTACATGTATGCGAAGAACCGTTCAAAGCTAGCATTTTTATTATATTAGGATATAGCTTTTTTAGGTATAGGAGTGTTTTCACATTAAATGGTCTCAGTACATATTTTCACATTGATTGACAATCAATTGATGTGAAAATACTCCTATAACTAATTGCATAGAGTTTTTATATGTGAAAAT